AAGTCGCAGCAGTCGATGAAAGTGGCGAGGCAGGGGAAACAGAAGTTGACTGACAGCTAGTGGGGGAAAATGAGCTTCGAGACGAGACAGCTCAAAATGCCAACTCACGCTTGAGCGGGCTGCAGGCAGTCAACGAGCGTGGTGAGGCGGGAAAGGCCCGACCAGAAGGCGTCAGAGGCTGAGGGGTAGTCGTCTACATGCACCCAGCACACCACGTGCACTATCTGCAGATAAGGGAGCGGTGGAAAGGGGTGGAGAGGGGTTGGATGGAAGGGAGTGAAGGGAGGGGAACACGTTGGTAAGAGTACCAGAGACCTGACCAGGAGGCATCAGGGGCTGAGGTTTAGTCGTCCACATGCACCCAGCACACCACGTGCACTATCTGCAAGCGGTGGAGAGGGGCGGAGAGGGGCGGAGAGGGGCGGAGAGGGGTGGAGAGGGGCGGAGAGGGGTGGAGAGGGGTGGACAGGGGGGAGAACAAGTGGGTAAGAGCACCAGAGACCCGACCAGAAGGCGTCAAAGGCTGAGGGGAAGTCGTCCACGTGCACCAAGCACACCACGTGCACTATCTGCGGAGAAGGAAGCGGTGACAAGGGGTGGAACGGGGTGCACATTACATCATAACACATCAGTGACGCCACAACAGATCACATCACATCACATCACAGCACATCACATCACACACATAAACCTAAGGTGACATGATCAAAGACCACAACGTCGTCGTTTTAGAGGCTCAGTCGCACGTCTGGCATGTGGGTCACACACATGCATGGCAGAAGGCACTCTGAGGCGCCTCAAAAACTATACCTTGGTGACATGGTCGAACACCACCACATCGTTGTACAGGCTCACGTGCACGTCTGGCAGGTGGCTGTCTGTCTGACGCGCCTAAGAAACCAAGCCATACAGTGCAGCACCGCACAGCACCGTATCCCATACCTTGGTGACATGGTCGAACACCACCACGTCGTTGTACAGGCTCAGGTGCACATCTGGCAGGTGGCGGTCGTCCATTGGTGCGGAGGAGAAAGGAAGCTTCTTGGACTCCACGTAGCGCACCGAGTCGTATGACGTGTACCCCACCCAGCCACCTGCGGACAGAGAAAAGAAGGCAGTGCGCAGAGCAAGGTAAAAAAAAACGGTAAGAAACGGTTCCAGAAGGTAATTTCCCTCTGAAGAAAAAATCGGCCAATTTATGGGACCAAATTGATGAAAATCATCAGAATGAAGGAAACGAACCCATCCTTGCATGTGCGCATTTGTGGGCATGATTGAAAATGTATCCAACCTTGTTTTTGCATTCTTTTTCTTGGTGACAAGAGTTCTCTAACAAAAACACAGCCGTATTTTTTAAAACTACCGTAAAAAACGGACCGTAATTTACGAAAACCGTATTTTTGAACCTTGGAGCAGAGGGAGGGAGGAAAGGGAGGAGAATGGGTGGGTGGGAGCGACGAGGGTTACACGAGTACAGCAAGCAGAGAAGAGAGAAAGAGCATGCGAGTAGAGAGGGAGAGAGAGCATGCGAGTAGAGAGGGAGGGAGAGAGAGCATGAATGAACTCGTTGCCAAACGACTGGCAGCTAACACTGACCGCAGAAGGAGTTGGGCAGCGAGTCACTGGCAGCAGGCTTCCATATGGCAGTAGTGAGTACACAAGGGGAGGCAAAGCGAGGCAAGCAGCAGCAGCAGAGACTACGGCCAAAGAAGTGGCAACAGCATTACCCACCACAGAAGGAGTTGGGCAGAGAGTCACTGGCAGCAGGCTTCCAGGTGGCTGAGAGGTCCTGCACCACCTGGTGAGTGATGATGGCGGCATGGGTGGGGCGAGGGGCGGAGAGAGGGGTGCGAAGTGAGTCAATCAGGCAGTCAAGCAGGCAACATGCCGTGCCGTGCCATGCCATGCCATGCCATGCCATGCCATGCCATGCCATGCCATGCCATGCCATTCCATGCCATGCCATGCCATGCCATGTGTACGCTTATCCCCCAATCTGAGTCGCTTTTCACCCAAAAGCACCCCCCCACATGTATGGATGCGTGTGTGTGTGCGTGTGTGCGTTTGTACACTTATCCCCCAGTCTGTGCCTCACCTGCAGCGGGTCCTTCCCCTCGATCGTCTCCCGGGCCACCTTGTCGTGGTTTACTACAGACACTGGGCCCACCCCCCTGCATGGGCGCATGCGTGTGTTCACGGGTGTGGTTACCAGCTCCCCCCCGCCCCAACCCCTTCCACACACACACGTACCTCCACCAAGTCTGTGCCTCACGGCCCTCACCTGCAGCGGGTCCTTCCCCTCAATCGTCTCCCTTTTCCCCTTGTCGTGGTTTACCACCGACACTGGCCCCACCCCCCTCGCCACCACCTCCAGCGCTGGCTGTGCGCCCACGTATGAGTAGCGGCCCTGGTTGGACAAGGGGATGGGGTTCCGAAAGACATGGATAAGAGAGGAGAAGAAAAAGTTGAGAGCAATGCCCCACCCCGTTCGCCACCACCTCCAGCGCTGGCTGTGCCGTGCCCCCACGAGTGAGTAGCTGTGAATGAGAGAGGAACAAGAAAGGATATGAGCGGCAAGGAGTAAAGGGTTAGAGAGGCGCTGATAGGAAGTTCTTTTATAAACACTGCACACCCTCCCTCCACCCTCCCTCGACACAACCTCGTAGAGGAGAGAGGAAACTGTACGAGAAAAAAGAAATAGAAATACAAGAAGCCTGTACAGTACAGTTGGGTGAATGGGAGGTCGTGTTGAGGCGCTCACTGTATCATTGAGTCTGCCTACCAGGCTCGCTTCAGCAGGGTTCGGGGTTTTACGATTTTACATGCGCAGCACCTCCTCGTCTGCCTTCTCGCCTTTGTGTTTTCACAGGTAGACTACATGCAGTGCATGTGAGTAAAGTAAACACTCTGTAAAACTCCACGCACGAATGTAACCCACCTTGTAAGGGTTCTACTTAGTAAAGTGGCACTCACGGATCTGGCTCGGCCGTCGTTGGTGGTTTCGAGTCCCCACGGACTCGAAGAAGAAGCTGGGAGCGAAAACGAGGGCGCCTCAACAATACACTCACGGATCTGGCTCGGCCATCGTTGGCGGTTTCGACGGACTCGAAGAGGAAGCTGGGCGCGTCGCGGTCGTCCTCCTTAACGAGGCAGCGATAAGCGAGGACGGGCGTCAGATGGTCGCTGAAAATGCGGCGGGAAATGGGGACCACGTTGCTACCCGCGGACACCGCGCGGAGAAACGCCTCCTCGTCTGCAGAGCGACAGTAACATATCATGATCACACATCAGAAAAGGGTGAATGTCCGAAACACGGGGATCACGTTGCTGCCCGCCGACATCGCGCGGAGAAACGCCTCCTCGTCTGCAGAGCGACAGCAATGAGGTAAGGATAAGGCAGAAAGAAGGATCACAGGCCGCAACAGGCTGAATGTGGGAAAGATGGAGGCCAAGGAGAAGTTTCTACGAACCTACGCAGAAACCGCCTCGTCTGCAGCCCGAGAGCGACGCAGTCAAAGAATCGCAAGGACCACATTTAGAAAAAAGGGTGACCGTGAGGAACATATGATTGCTTGAAGAGGTGACTTTTGAGTCGACTCAAAAGTCACCTTGAGTCGACTCAAAGTCGCCCGACGGCGAGGCAAGGACCCACGTATCGAGAAAGAGTGAACGTGAGGAACACGTGATTGCTTGAAGAGTGTGAAGAATGCTGGATCGTTCGAGCGGCCGCTGCCAGGAACTCCAGCACGACACCGTTAAGTAGTTCTACCGCGTCACCATTTCATACCGCATCGCATCATACCGCACTGCACCACCACGCACTACGTATGGCGGCTTACTCGGCATTTCGTTCGAACCAATGCGATCAGCAGCTGATCGCCCCGTCGTCGCCACGGCTCTCACTCCCGCAACTCCGCCAATCCGGAAACAACCATTCCTGCCCGAGTTGGCTCGACAAATAGGAGCTCGCAAATTCTGACCGAACCAGGATGTTGACAGAGAGTATGCTCCAGACTTCTTCGCAATTTTATGTCCGGGAAATGCGGAAGGCACAGCTACTGATTGTAGGGACGTATTTGATAATGTGGTCTGCGCAAATGTAGCCGCCATTGCCGGAGCGTTTAGCGCTGGAGCGAGACTAGAAGACAGCATTGGCACCCGTGCACTATTAATGGCCGACTTTCAGCTGAGAGAGCTTGCTAGTTCAAGTGCTGCCAGCCACGCGCGCGCCGCGAAATTAGTGCTTCTGTGCTTTTCTAACGAACTGGGCCGCGGTAGATGAACAAGGTACGTAAACATTAAAAAAATTATTTCCATCAACTAACATCCGTTGTAGTCTAGTCGGTTAGGATATTCGGCTCTCACCCGAAAGACCCGGGTTCAAGTCCCGGCAACGGAATTACTTTTTGCACTTTTCACAAATCTCATTTTATTTTCCCAACAGCCATCACTCTCTCCCTTCCAGCCTTCTGCTACTTTTCCGCTGACGATTCTCAACTCAGCACGCTTCTCTCAACTTTACGCCCACTCCTTGCAATACATTTCCTCCTTGCTCACCTCCGTGCTGTAATGAACCGTGCATTAGCCGACTTATAGGTCAGTCGCGTTATAATTCCATGCAGCCGCGCAAGAAGGACTCCCGAACATCCGATTCTTCCCAAGCCTCCGTCGTCAAGGCTTCCAAGCCTCTATCCGCCTTGTCGAGGCATGGCCGAGCCGGCGGGGCAGGCTCGGCAGGTGCGAGAGGAGACGGAGGAGGGGGAGGGAGTCAAAGCTCTTTGCTGCAATCGGGGAGGGAAAAGAGCGGGAGAACGGGCTTGTCGTTTCGCTCAGCTTTTTCAATGGTACTCTTGTTTGTAACGGCGTTGTCGATCGCGGTGTTTGCCGGTAGACGGATAGCGAGTCGGCATGAAGCGAGGATACGGAAAGAGGCCGCCTTTCCTGCCTCGGATCTACCCGCGGTCGGATCAAGAAGCGGTTCGACTGAAAGCAACGGTCAAATGAGCGCAGATCGCGGTAACGGTGCTATCAGTGGTGTGGGCAGCGGAAGCAGCGGTGAAGCTTCTGCTGCTGGTGCTGCTGCTCAAGGTCGTGGGACTGAATCAGGTGCTGCTAACGAGGACGTTTCTAACGAGGATGCAGCTGAGGCTGGTGCTAAAGATGAAGAGCCTCCTCTTGACATCGATAAATACCTCTGTAGGTGACCTTGTGCTGTCAGCTCTTGTATTTTTATTTCCCTAGCTCATCGTGCTATCATGACAAGTGGGGTGTTATCTTTATTCATATTCCATGTCTGCATGCTGTGATCGTCCGTATGCCATATGCCATGTCGATCGCGCACATTACTTTCCTTTCCGCTCTCCTTGCATTGCATGTGACATTGTCTTGCATTTATTGCCGTTTCAGAAAGTAGCTGTTACTTATCCTTTTCGGTGGCGTTTCAACATCCCACTGCTTCCATCCCCTCCAAAAGCTTCCTCACTTCCACAGTGACGTTTCGCCATAGCACTGCCTGTTCTCCCGGCCCATCCCCTGCCACAGTGGAGGAAGCGAGGAAGCTTATGGAGGGGATGGAGCAGCAGCAGCAGCAACAGCAGCAGTGAGTCAGGGGAGGAGACAGATGCGGAGCAGAGGGCAGAAAGAGCATGGCTAATGGATGATGGCGCTGTTGCTGGGGAAAGAGATGGAATCAGTGCTGCTGAAAGGCTTGGTGGTGATGCTGCTTCTGGTGAAAGAGACTCTGCTGCTGCTGGTGCCAGTGGTAGCAACGCCAGTCGTGGTGGTAACCATGGCAGTGGTAACCACGTTGTTGCTGCAGCCGATGGTGACGCTGAGGACGTTGTTAAGGTTCAATTAGGTCAAGATGGGGTGGAGCAAGAGAGCGAGGAGGACGAAGGGGAACAGGAGCAGCAGCAGCAGCAGCAGCAGCAGCAGCAGCAGCAGGAGCAAGTGGATGTCAGCAGCCCAGTGAGAGTAGGTGACGAGGAAGGCAGAGGTCATCAAGTCGGAAGAGAATTCAGCCACCCACCATCCCCAAACTCCGCATTGGGTGAAGAGATAGCAAACGGCACTTCCAGCAAGCGCAGAGCGACAAGGAGAAGAAGAAGAAAAGGCAGCAGAAGAAGAAGACAGCTGTTGCCGCCCCTGTCGAACACCTGCGACCTGTATTCAGGGGAGTGGGTGCGGGACTCTCAGGGCCATCCGCTGTATTCCGGCAGCACGTGCCAGTTCCCTCTACCCCACTGGACGTGCCGCCGCAAGGACCGCCCCTCGTTTGTGTATGAACAGTTCACATGGCAGCCAGATGGGTGCCGGGTGCCTCGGTTTAATCGCTCCGAACTCAAAGAACGGTACGTGGCCGGTCAGTCGCATGTGGCGGGATGGGTTGGATGGGGTGTGATGTTTTACTTGGTGACGCGATGCAAGGACCGCCCCTCGTTCCTCTTCGGGCTGTACTGTACCACTGGCAGCCGCAGTGGTGCCGTGCCGAGTGCCCTATGGGCCTATGCTTTGTGCATAGGGCACAAACGCCACCTTCAGTTCAGCCCCAGTCTGCGCAGCAAGAAGGTGGCGTTCGTGGGTGATTCAGTGCGCCAGCAACAGTTCTTCTCTCTGTTCTGCCTCACGCCCCCCCTTCACTCCCCACTCCCATCCAAACACCCGCTCAGTCCTCCACATTTCTCCAGTCTGCGCAATAAGAAGGTGGCGTTTGTGGGCGACTCAGTGGGGCTGCAGCAGTTCTTCTCACTCCTCTGCCTCATCTCCCCCCTCCCCTGCTCTCCCATCCCGCCCCTATGCTTCCACTCCCCCTCCCTACTCTCCCATTCCCATTGCTTACTCCCAGTCTGCGCAACAAGAAGGTGGCGTTTGTGGGCGACTCAGTGGGGCTGCAGCAGTTCTTCTCACTCCTCTGCCTCATCTCCCCCACACCTCGTACTCATGAGCCGTACATCGAGTCACGAGATGCCGACTACAAGTTCAACTGGACAACTGGCTGGCGCGGATGGCAGGTGGGTGGGTGATGGCGTGCAGATGGGTTGTGTTGTGTGTGTATGCGAGTGTATCGAAAGGGAGTGGTGCCCAACACAACACAACCTAAGAGAGTGTGTCCCGTCTCATCTTCCAACCCGCACACCCACGAGCCGTTCATCGAGTCACGAGATGCCGACTACAAGTTCAACTGGACCATCGGCTGGCGCGGATGGCAGGTGCGTCTCTCCCATTCCAAGGCACTCCCCCACACCGCGCACCCACGAGCCGTTCATCGAGTCACGAGATGCCGACTACAAGTTCAACTGGACAACCGGCTGGTGCGTTTTGAGTCAACTCAAAACACGGCTCATTTCACGCGGGTTATATGTGGAGAAGTCCAATCGAGCCCCATTTAGAGGCCATGGTTCAATACGTGGCAGCAAGTGATTAGAGTATGACACCTAGAGTAGGTAGAGTGTTGGTGTGTAGGAACACGCTTGTGTTAATTTGATGGTAACCGGTTTCGGCGTCAGACGCCTTCTTCAGACCACAAGCTAGTCTACGTGTAAAGGCACTACTTATAGGCCTAGGAAATGTCACGCAAGACCCAAAACGCGGGAGAATCCTCACGGGGTCTGGTGAACATTGTACAAGCGAATGCAATAAAGGCTACAGTGAAATCTACTGTACCTAGCACTTCTTAGCAGAAATTAAAAAGTTTCCAACTCTTTTTGGTAGTCTCCAAGCAATAAGCGCTCTCCGTGTAGAAAAAGTGTCGTGTGCCATTGTAACGAGGTGACTTTTGAGTCGACTCAAAAGTTTCCCCAGGTGCGAATGGTCAACCAAGGGGTTGACTAGGCATTTCAGCACAAGGGGGCCACGTTTCGGAGAGGCACGTGTCGAAAACGCGCGAGCGAGGAGTTCTGACCGAGAGGAAAAGGAGACCGATTTGAAGATCGGCAGGAGAAATTTCTCCGGATACCCCCGTGCCCGTAGTCGAGCAAAGAAAAGAGCCCGGGAGTTGAGGAAGTCAGGTCGAGAGGATGAGCGCAGTAGAAATCTGTGTAATTCACTGCGAATGAATCCCACCTTCGTCCTGCGAGTGTGATATGACTGAAAGGTAAATATAAGTAACGATTCATGGGTTTCTGGAACAGCTTCAAATCCAGTAAACCGGAGGTGTTGAAGCGTCTGCCCTTGAAAAAAGTAACATCCAGAAAATCAATGGAAGTCTCCGAAATGACCCAAGTCAAGCGAATGGAGGGATGAAGCGTATCAAACCGCGCTTTCAACCGTTGAAATTCTTCCCGCGTCCCTTCCCATAGAATCAAACCGTCGTCTATGAAGCGAAGGTGAAGAGGGGGAGGTGACGGAAGCAGGGAATGGAGTTGAATGTCCAAAAAGCTCATGAAAAGAACCGCGAAGCAAACAGCTACTGACGTTCCCATGGTGGTGCCGTGAATCTGGCGAAAGAATCTGCCATTGAAGGAGACATAGCTGTTGAACATCACCCAACGAAGTAGGCGAGTGATGAGTGGAGCTAATGGGTGTCTTGCCTTCTGGAGAAAATACGAAACAGCGTCAATACCGTCCAGCAAGGGAATAGAAGGGTAAAGTGATTCCACATCATAAGATGCAAGTAGAAGCTGCTTCGGAAAACGTCGTCGCTCCAGCTCAAGAATAAGACTCTGAGAATCCTTGACATAGGTAGGTTGTTGAAGGACCAACGGACGTAAAACCGTGTCTAGCCAGCGAGAAACGTTGGAGGTTATCCACGAATGACAGGCCGCAATCGGTCGTCCGGCAGGAGCTTTCTTATGTATCTTCAGTAAGACGTAAAAGGCGGGAATTTTCCATCCGCCATTGGGTTGACTGAAGAAAGAATTCTAGATCTTCTTAGGTAGGAGCGGTTGATAGTCATTATGAATAGAATGTAGATCGTGTAGAATGTTGTCGGTCGGAACGGCAGAGTATTCTCTGTAGACTTTCTTATTAAGAAGATGTTGAAGGCATTTTTCTTGATAGAAGTCTCTGCTCATCACCGTAAGGCCGAGATTCTTATCTGCAGGTTTGAAAATTAGTTCAGGGTTTCTAGCAAGCCGTTGGAGCGTAGGAATGACGTTTTTCCGTCGGTGTGAGCGAATCGTTTGACCATTGATGTCCTTCATCACCGAGTCTTTAAAGACAGCAAGGGCCGTTTCGATCTCGGAGGAAGCCAATGGCGGATCCCAGTTCTCCCGTCTTGGGAGCTTGTAGCCTGGATAATCAGAAACGATATCAGTTCCCCCAAACAGATACATCGTACGCACACTCTTAAAGAAAGAGTACAATTCGGCTTCTAGGCTAGCGATGTTGCGGATGGCAGGGAAAGGGATGAATTTAAGACCCAGGCTAAGTAAATTGAGCTCTTCACGCGTAAAAACATGGTCACTGAAGTTGTGGATGCCGCGGTTGGTCACTCTGCAACGCAGCTGACTCTCGGTTTGTCGGCCGAAGAGGATGAGCGCGTAGGAGTGGACATCGGCTGCTACTGTCGACCTGTTTTTCCGCGGACGGCTCCTCCCCCGTTTTTTGCCGCTGCGTTACGGTTCTTGGGGTAAGTCGCACTGCGTCCAGCCGTCTTGGTGTAGGCTCGTCCCATCGTCTTTGTCGCATGGTGAGTGCCGACATCCTCCTTCTTGCCGGAACCATTCTGACGTTTCATGCCGTTGCTATTCTGCCTCGGCTGTGCCTTCTTGTTCCTTTTCGTCGCGATCGTGGTAGCCTTCTTGCTGTTGTTGACAGGGAAGGTCTTCCTTTTGCCAGCTGATGCTTTCTTCTTGCCGTTGTTAACAGAAGGACGATTGTCGTTGGGAGTAGACTTAAACTTCGGCTTGAGCTTAGCGACTGCTTTTTCAGCCTCCTGTTTGGCGATCTCGCGAACAGTGGGATCGACCGGAAGGTTTTCAGCTTCTTCTGTCGCAGCAGCCTTCTTCTCGTCAATCTCCCTCTTCTTTTCCTTCAAATGAATTTCAGAAAGGTTAGCCTCCATAACGAAAATAGACATTGCTTCCTTGAATTCAGAAACGACGCGATGCTTGAAAAAATTCAAATTGTCGGTCAGCTTCGAGTTCTTGGTCCCGATGTCGGTCTTCTTGGCCAGATTGATGTAGTTATCGACCTGGTCCTGGAGCTTCTGAAAAACTGCAGCAGTGTCGTTGCGAGCTTGTTCTGCTGCCTTCTTCTTCATCGCGATAAGGATTCCTTGCGCTTGCTTGCAATACACCTCGCAGGCCGCCTGGAGATCCTTGTCAGCTTCTTGACGAAGTTCTTCGGAGTTGCATACGAAGCCGAAAGGCTTGATGCGAATGCTGTGCGGGATAATCCCCGCCGCTTTCTGCTCCTCCATGAAATTGTACTGCAGCTGCAAAGTCCGGTATTTAAGAAAGCTCTTCTTCAAGTCCTTGATCGCTTGCAGCTTGAAGTCGTTCAGGCATGTAGGAGTAGCCTGCTTGTCAAGAAAAGCGTGATTAATGTCACCAAGGAAATCAAAAGAATCCAGCATGACGGTGTCATGAATCTCATGAGCAGCTTCCTGTCGCGGCGCAGCCATGGTAGCAAAAGAAGATCGCTGAACGGCTGGTGCTGGGATAGCTTCGGACGGAATAGCAGGTGGAAATTCACAAGCTTTCCTCTTGCTCGGTCGAGAAACTGGAGACTGTGGATTGGCTTTAGAGCAAGCCTGCTCTTTATCTTCGCGATTAGTTCTCGGGCTTGGCTTCCTCGAGAGTCGCGTGATTTGACGAGTGGGATTTTCCTTGGTGTTGTCTGTGTTGGTGTTGGTGTCTGTTGCATTAGCAACGAATCTGTACTTGGCCATCGCAGTAGTGTCAATGTGAAGTCCAATCGAGCCCCATTTAGAGGCCATGGTTCAATACGTGGCAGCAAGTGATTAGAGTATGACACCTAGAGTAGGTAGAGTGTTGGTGTGTAGGAACACGCTTGTGTAAATTTGATGGTAACCGGTTTCGGCGTCAGACGCCTTCTTCAGACCACAAGCTAGTCTACGTGTAAAGGCACTACTTATAGGCCTAGGAAATGTCACGCAAGACCCAAAACGCGGGAGAATCCTCACGGGGTCTGGTGAACATTGTACAAGCGAATGCAATAAAGGCTACAGTGAAATCTACTGTACCTAGCACTTCTTAGCAGAAATTAAAAAGTTTCCAACTCTTTTTGGTAGTCTCCAAGCAATAAGCGCTCTCCGTGTAGAAAAAGTGTCGTGTGCCATTGTAACGAGGTGACTTTTGAGTCGACTCAAAAGTCACCTGGTTATATGTGGAGAAGTTTTTGTTGCATGGCAAATCGGTTGTAACCTTAACACGAGCCGTACATCGACAGGTGAGTCACGAGATGCAGACTACAAGTTCAACTGGACAACCGGGGCTGGTGCCGATGGCAGGTGGGTGGGTGGTGGCCTGCATATGGGCTGTTCATAACACTCTTTGTGTCTCTCTCTTTCCACCCCGTGGTGGCACGTGGTGGCACGTGGTGGCACGGGGTGGCACGTGGTGGCACGGGGTGGTTCATAACACTCTTTGTGTCTCTCTCTTTCCGCCCCGTGTACTCACTCTTACTGCAGGGCTCAGCCTATCGTTTCCCTGAAACCAACACGACAGTGCTGCTCAAATGGACTGCGCGTGTCTCTCTCACTTACCTCCTCAACTCACACTCCTTCCTTCGCTTTCTTGCCCCCACCCCACCCACTCTCATCACTGCAGGGTTCAGCTTACCGTTCTCCTGAAAACCAACACCATAGTGCTGCTCAAGTGGACTGCACCCGTTTCTTCTCAACACTCTGTGTGCGTTGGTCTTTCTCTCTGCCTTTTTCTACTCTCACCACCACTGCAGGGTTCAGCCTACCGCTTCCCTGAAACCAACACCACAGTGCTGCTCAAGTGGACCACATCGCTGTGCCACGTGGCGCGCAAGGATTGGGCGAACGAGTCAGCGGGGCAGGCTGCCCACCTGGACCAACCGGACGAGTTTCTGAGGCAGCATATGGAGGAGATGGATGTGATTATAATGAATACTGGGCACCACTGGAACATGTGAGTGGCAAGAGGTGTGACTCTAGAGGGGGGAGAGATAAGGGGGGCGGGGGGAGGAGGAGGGGGGGAGGGGGTTTGTGGAGGGGAGGGGAAGGGGTGGGGGGTGGGAGGTATTGCTGTGTGGTACTGGCTAGTGTGAGGCGGGCAGCTCACCTGGACCAACCGGACGAGTTTCTGAGGCAGCACATGGAGGAGATGGATGTGATTATAATGAACACGGGGCACCACTGGAACATGTGAGTGGATGTGATGTGACTTTAGTGAATACAGGGCATGTGAGTGGAGAGGGATGTGGTTCTAATGCTCGCTACTATTCAGACATGTGAGTACAGGATGTAGTTCTTATAACGAAAACAGCCATACAATAGCAAATGGAGCATGAATTGAGTGAGCACATCATCATTCATTCTTCATAGGACTTTCTCTCCCTTCTCCTCCCCTGTTCCCCCATCCCATCCCCATGAACAACAACGAGATGCAGGAGTATGGGTGGCAGTTTCACCTGGGGGGAGTCCCAGTGCCCCCAGAGGCACACAAGGAGATGGAGGGCGACTTCAACGTGCCCATGCGCGCCGTGCTGCATGTAGTTCAGTATTTTCCTCCCACCTCCACACCCGCCCTCCGCTACCCTCGCCCCAGCAACAAGACGCAAGAAAATGGGTGGCAGTTTCACCTGGGCGGCATACCAGTCCCCCCAGACACCCACAAGGAGATGCAGGGCGACTTCAACGTGCCCATGCGCTCCGTGCTGCCCCTGCATTCCCCTCCATCCCCTCGCTCTCCACCCTGCCCCCAGCAACAAAATGCAGGAGTACGGATGGCATTTTCACCTGGGGGGAGTCCCGGTCCCCCCAGAGACTCACAAGGAGATGGAGGGCGACTTCAACGTGCCCATGCGCTCCGTGCTGCGCTCGACCGCCATGTGGGTGCACCGGCATCTTCAGGAGATATCCGAGGAGCGAGAGAGGCGGCGACTGGTTGCGATGCGGGAAGGGGAGAGGAGGGAGGGTGGCGAGGGAGAAGGGGGAGAGGGGGGAGGGGGGGAAGAGCGGGCGCTGCCGCTGGTGCTTCTGGTGACGCGCTCGCCGGCGCATTTCATGGATGGGCAGTGGAACACTGGCGGCGGGTGCGACAAGCTGCAGGTGAGAAGTTGGGGATTGTAGATGGGTGGGAGCAAGAGCTTCCGGTGCTGCTGCTGCCGCTGCTGCCGCTGCTGCTGCTGCTTGACACGGTCGCCGGCGCATTTCATGGATGGGCAGTGGAACACTGGACGGGGGTGCGACTAGCTGCAGGTGAGGGGATGAGAGTAGGATGGTGATGTTGTTGCTCAGAACAAGGATTGAAAGGTGGGACACTGGTCGATGGGCCTCTGCAGGTGAGGGGAAGTACAGGTTGGGTTTTTTTTCTTAGAATTCTCAAAAAACATACTCTGCAGGTGAGGGGAAGTAAAGGTTGGCTTTTCATTTCATGGATGGGCAGTGGAACACTGGTGGGGGTAGCGACAAGCTGTCGGTGAGAGGTTCGGGAGTCAGGGCGTGTAGGGCGTGTTGACCCCAAAAGAGCATGTTGACTCAGGAGCAAGAAGGGCGACTCTAATTCCAGTTGCGGGATTTGAACGCGGAGGCAGCAGTGGGGGGCACGGCAGTGCGGCTGCTGAATCTACTTGTCCCCCCCACTTCCAATCCCAATTCCCAACCCCCATCCCCAACCCCCATCCCCAACCCCCATCCCCAACCCCCATCCCCAACCCCCATCCCCAACCCCCATCCCCAACCCCCATCCCCAACCCCCATCCCCAACCCCCATCCCCAACCCCCATCCCCAACCCCCATCCCCAACCCCCATCCCCAACCCCCATCCCCAACCCCCAAACCCTGAAACCCGAAACCCCTGCAGAGCATGCCGACGCAGGAGCAAGTGGATTAGCTGTATTTTCAGTCGAGGGATTTGAACGCGGAGGCAGCAGTGGAAGGGACAGCAGTGAGGCTGCTGAACATCACGGCTCTGTCTGCCCTGCGCTGCGCCCCGAGGCACACCTGTCCCGGTGGTATGACATGACAAGGACGGCAAGGCACCGGGGCAGCAGGACTGCTGCGCTCCTGCTGTCCTTCCCTCCCGCTCACATTCATCTTCCCATCCCTCTTTCGCATGCCTCCCACCCCCCAGAGCATGCTGAGTCGGGAGGAAGCAGAGCGGCTGTATTTTCAAACAAGGGATTTGAACGCGGAGGCAGCAGTGGAAGGGACTGCAGTGCGGCTGCTCAACATCACGGCGCTGTCTGCCATGCGCCCCGAGGCACACCTGTCACGGTGGTATGACAAGGACGGCAAGGCACCGGGGCAGCAGGACTGCGTGCACTGGTGCCTGCCGGGTGTGCCTGACGCGTGGAATGAGCTGCTTTTCTGGGAGATTGTGAGGAGTGGCCGGTTCCCCTTGCCTGGGGAAGTGCGAGGGAAAAGGGATAGGGATGGTAGCAGCAGCAGACTAATTCAGGACATGTAACGAATCCTGATTACAGTGGAATTCGATTACTGGTTGGTTGTGTTACGTATTGTTGGTACACCTGTCACAGCGGTATGACAAGGATGGCAAGGCACCGGGGTTGCATGCACTGGTGCCTGCCAGGTGTGACATGACACATGTAATGAGCTTCTATTCTGGGAGATAGTGAGGATCGGCTGATTTCCCTTGCCTGTGGAAGCGGTAGGGAGAGGGGATGAGGGTGACAGCAGCAGAATAATTCAGGATATGTAAGACATACTTCACAAATTGCTGTCAAATTTTGTTACCGTAAAGTGCCACCTATAGGACCCGGGTGTCAAAATGAGGAAATGGATGATGCATTGATGTTGGTTGGGGTACATATAGCTAACCCTAAGTTTTGTACCCCCTAAGACAATCCTCACTATAGGCTACAACAACTGACACACCCCCATAGCCTAAGTGAGGGGTGTCTAGCAGAACCAAAAGAGTACGGTCACAAGACCAGTCCAAGAAACAAAGCTCAGGGTGGATCACAACGTCACCACACACTCTGAGCACAAACACCAGTGGCCACAAGGCCAGTCCAAGAACTCACAAGATATACAGCAAATGTACAAGCAAGACAAACAGTCAACTCAAGTCTACACAAGACGAGAACCAGTGTCAACAAGGCCTAACTGCACACAGCACCTCTGGTGGTCACAAGGCGGAAGTGCCTTGGTGAAGATGTCTGCAGTGTTGGCCTCGGACTCCACAAACTCGAAGCGAGCATGTCCACGTCTCTGCAACTCTCGCAGAAGAAAGTACCTGACGTGAATGTGCTTCACTCTGCTCTCCAGTTGCGGCTCTCGACAAAGGAGAATCGACGCCTTGTTGTCAGTGAACAAGGTCGGTGCAGAGCTCGGCCGCTCACCAAGGTCGGCGAGCAAGAACGTCAACCAACGCAGCTCCTGTGCCGCCATGGCACCAGCGTAGATCTCAGCCTCAGCTGTAGAGGTCGAGACCGAAGAGGAGCGCGTGGACCGCCAGGAAACAGCTCCAGAACCCAGGCTGAAACAGTACCCCTGAGTAGACCTGTGAGTCTCAGCGTCGTCAGCGTAAGAAGAGTCACAGTGACCAGTGAGTACGACAGACTGCTGCCCTCCAAGAACTAGCCCCACGCCTGATGTAGTCGCTAGGTACTTCGCCACCCTCACAGCTGCCGTCCAGTGAACAGGACGGTGTCTCCCTGGCGCAACAAAGCGCGCAAGGACGCTGAGAGGGAAGGCGAGGTCCGGGCGAGTACAAGTCATCAGGTACATGAGGCAACCCACAAGCTCTGCGTAGGGACCACTAGGCTCAAACGGCTCGTCAGGAAAGGGACCAGTGAGTCTGTGGTCAACAGCGAGAGGTGTGCGCTGTACGGTGGAGTGCTGAAGCCCGAACCGCTGAAGGACCTGCTGCACCATGTGTGACTGTGAAAGTGTAATGGTGCGAGCAGCTCTGTCCCTGGTGATCTGCAGGCCAAGGTAGTGGCGCAGCTCACCAAGGTCAGTGCAGGTGTGTCTCTTCTGCAGTTCGGACTTCACGTTTGCCAAAGCAACCCTGTCAGCAGTGGCGAAAACGAGGTCGTCGACGTAGACCAGAACAAAGAACGGTGTGGAGCCGCGACGAACGAACAGCGACGGGTCGGCAGAAGACGGCTGGAACCCAAGGTCAGAGAGGGTAGAACGCAGAGTGTCGTGCCACTCACGAGGGGCCTGGCGAAGACCGTAAACAGGTCGCCTCAGCCTCCACTGGGTCCCAGGAGGGAAGGTGCCAGTGAAGGCAGAGGGACGACGCAGCCAGACCTCCTCGTGAAGACTGCCCTGAAGGAAAGCAGTGGAGAAGTCGAGAGAGTGTAACTCGTAGTCTCTCTGTGCTGCTACGTGCAGTAACACCCGAAGAGTGGTCATCTTTGGGGTAGGCGCGAAGGTCTGAAAGAAGTCAACTCCTTCGCGTTGACTGAAACTTCTAGCCACGTAACGCGCCTTGAAGACCGGGGGAGATCCCGGTGGCCGCTTCACCCTGTAGATCCACATGCCGTCGACTACGTTCGCCCCAGGAGGGGGAACCTCATCGACGTAGGTGCCTGTGGATCTGTAGGAGGCCATCTCTGCGTCCATGGCAGCTCTCCACTGAGAGGCCCAAGGCCCTGACACTGCCTCAGCGTAAGTGCGAGGAGTCGGAATGTCAAGGGCGTCTGGGTCACCCTCAGGGGCGAGGAGCATGGCACAGAGATGAGGGGAAGCGGCTGCCAGGAACTCTAGCTCAAACTGCCTATCCTCTAGGGCGTCACAGCCAAGGGCAGACACACCCCCGACGGCCAGAGGACTGGAAGGAGGAGCAGCCACAAGACCGGTGGCGAAGTCAAGGCGGCGGGTAGAGGCAAAGTCAGTGACTGCGGCAGTAAGAGCGGACACAGAGGACAGAGAGGCACGAGGGTGAGTAACAAGCGAGGCGAGAACACGAGAGAGAACAGGACGGTACGTGCGGTAGTAGTCAGTGACAGGAGTAGAGAGCGACGCAGTGAGAGCCAACTCAGGAGGAGACGGAAGCACAGACGGAGACGGACGAGGTGGACTAGAACGAAGTAAGGCAGTACGAAGGTCAGTGAAGGGAACAGGAGACGAGGGACGAGCACGAGGGGAGCGACGAGAGGCCCAAGTCTGAGAAGGAGGAGGGGACAACGAAGACTGAGAACGAGGGAAAACAGCGGGAGAGGGGCGAGGAGGAGGAAGCGGAGGACCAGAGATGGGAGGAGAGGGGGAGGAGGAAGGAGAGCGAGAGGGGAGACCAAGGGTCCGAAGACCCGAGACAGGAGGAGGAGGCGGCTGCTGCTGCTGCTGCTGCTGCTGCCGCTCCTGCTCCTCCAGCCGCTGCAACTCTCGCTCTTCGTGCTCCAACTCCAGCTGCTCCTCACGAGCACGGCGAACACGAGCCTGGAACCTGGTCGGGTAGGGGTGGGGGGTAGTAGTAGTGTCCGGGGCAGCGGCAGCCCCAGAGTCCACCTCCGAAGCACCAGGCGCACCACCCCCAGAGTCAGCACCAACACCAGCTCCAGACCCAGACGCACCAGAAACCGAAGGGGTCCCACCCTCACCCCCAGACGCAGCACCCCCAGACCTCGCACGACCAGCACCAGCTCCCGGAAGACGAGAGTCCTCTGCAACCCGCGGCTCAGCTCCAACTCCAGCACCCCCAGAACCAGAAACCGGTACAGGAACTGTCTCAGTACCAACCTCTCTAGAGCGAGCACCTGCAGGACGCGGCGAGGAAGACTGTGGGGAGGGAGGCTGTACCGGAGGGGCTACCGAAGGGGGAGGGGTAGCCTGGGACACACCGGACGGGGCTGGACCAGGGGGGGGAGGCTGTACCGGGGGAGCAGGAGGGGGAGCGGCAGTCAGGAAGAGGGGGGGACGGACCGGCAGACCTCGACTGGGGTACCTGACGTAGTAGGGGGTGGACTCCTCGAAACGGACGTCATAAAGAAACGGTGAGAGGGAGGGTGGTAAAAGGTGAAGTCAGAGGAGTCCTCAGGGAAACCAAGGAAGACACAAGGAACGGCGCGAGGCGAGAGCTTGTCCGCGGAGGTGTCGCGGACAAGAGCCAAGCACCCCCAGACACGAAACCTCGACGCAACACCAGGGGACCCGGTCCAAAGACTGGTCGGTGAAGCCTCTGGCCGAGAGACGCGTGGCCAGAGGTTCAGCTGGTGCGCGGCGTACCTGACCGCGTAGGGCCACAGAAAATGGGGGGCACGGGCGTGAGTCAGGGAGGTGCGGGCGATCTCCATGACCAAGCCTATGCGGTGCTCAGCAACCCCATTCTGCTGTGGGGACTCTAGAAGCGTCCAGGACTGACGAATGCCCTGCTCGCGACAGAATCCAGCAAGAATGCCGGAGCGAAACTCACCCCCACGGTCGGAGTGAAGACAGCTGACACGACGACCACGAGTGTCCTGCATTGTAAGCAACCACGTGATCAGTGTAGAAGTCACCTCAGACTTCTTCGCCAGGGGAAACACTGTGGTGTAGCGGGAGTAGTCGTCAACGACCACCAGAAAGAAACGCTCACGCTCAGGGCCCTGACGAGGGCCAGGGCCCCAGACGTCCAAGTGGAGCGTCTCAAAAGGCTCGGTGGCCGGACGAAGGGAGGAGGAGTGAGGGGTGGCGCGCAGCCGACCCTCGACGCAGGGACCGCACGGCGGCGCAAGCGAAGGCGGCAGCGACGGCAAGACACGCGGGAGGCCTAAGACGCTTACAAGACATAGCGCGCAGACGAGGAAGGGACGGGTGCCCCATCCGGTGGTGCCACAGGACGGTGGGGTGGGCAAGGGACCGGCAGGAGCACGACGCAGCGACTGGACCAGACGCAGGAACCTGACCAGACACAGCTACCTGGGGGGAAGGAGCAACCTGGTGAGACGCGGGGACTCGAGCGGAGGGCGGTACAGGGGCCGGGGGCAGTAGGAGCGGCTGCTGCTGCGGCTGCTGCTGCTGCTGCTGCTGCGGCTGCTGCCGCGCCAGCGGGCCAGTGTGAAGAGTGTAGAGACCGGAGCCCGGCTCAGCAGTAAAGGTGGCCAGCGGCTGGTAAGAGTCTCCGTCAACACACACCGCAGTCTCTCCGCTAAACCACACACCCACGTGCTGACTCACGAGGGGTCGCACGCCCACCAAGTTCCGGGAGAACGAGGGGACGTGAAACCTGTCAAACATTATATATGTTGTGGTTGTTTAGGCTACAGTGGGTTAGCCTTTAGGGGGTACACAATTCTAGGGTTAGGTACTTGTACTCATTTTCACTGCTAGTTCCACTCATTCCTGCCTGCTAATTTCAACATGGTTTCAGAGCAGGTCCTTCGCTAGGACCGTTTTTTTAGGGCCCACCTCCCTACCTACCTACCTACCTACCTACCTGCGCCCTAGAGCGCTTCGTGTTTCACGGCCCCCTAAGGCCCCGCGACCCGCGACCCGCCCCTTAGCGACCCGCGCGCCGCC